TCAATATAATTGCAATTTTTCATTATCAACTTTACAGTATCTCTAATAAACTACAACTCTGACATGAAGGAAAAACCTGTGCAAGGGCGAGGTTATTTTTTCTGGATTTGCTGTGGATCAAGAGGAGGGAAATACCACTTCTCTGAGGATGTAGAGGAGTGAAGACACACGGCTTTAATCCAGATCTTGATGCAAATAGACACACCTTTATTATGGTCACGCCTTCTGCTGGATGACTATATAAGAACCTGGAACAAGTGCTCTTTTGCATTTGCCCTTGCCTTGATAGAAGGTCCAATACTTCACTGGGATTAGAGTCTATTTCTTTGGTGTTTCAGCATATACTGAAGATCAGCCAGAAGATTCAGCCTTGCAGACTGAGAAACTCCTGGATTTTTGACGGCAGCCTGTAAGTCATTCCAATAAATTCCAGAAAAGGGGGCTGATTGAATTATTGTATAAGATATTAGGTTGATTAGGCAACCCTGACTAATAGTCACCAAGGCTCTATCACATTAATTCCCCCACATAGGACAAAAACTCATGCTTACGTGCCCACGACAGTAAGGAAATTTCTCATTTAAGCTAGCAGTGGTTTATTTCACATTATCTCAAGCATTGGCAGTATTTGGATTCCAGTAGCTACTACTGCTTGGAAACCTGTAGAAAGCATGGAGGTGGAACTTTCTAGGAAGCAAGACAGTGGTGGATAGAGAACTTCTATGTTATGTCACCAGCTACCTAATGACCCAGTTCTAAAAGGAACAAGATGTACCCAGGGACATGTATTCTAAGTCTGTTGGATATCTGAATGCACATAAACTCTTCCTCCCTAGAGTTGATTCTAAATTGGGACTTGATCACAGCAACAATAAAAAGTTGAGGGCAGCTGGGCCTTGGTGGCACCTGCCTTTAATCCAAGCACTCAGGAGGCAGAGGGAGGTGGATCTCTGTCAGTTTGAGGCCAGCCTGGTCTACCAAGTGAGTTCAAGGACAGCCTGCAAAACAATACAGAGAAACCCTGTCTGGAAAAACCAAAAAAAATTTCAGGTAAAAAAAAATTCTTTTCAAGTAAAGAAAGCAAACCAAAATAACAATGAAACAATATTGTCAATTCTTGCAAATAGCTGACAGGTTGGTGCTTGTGAAAATCAAGGAGACATTAAGAATAATGATACATATTAGTCCATTTGTACATACCCAACAGCTGAGCTTTTTCCTTAACCATTGGAGTCACTGTCCGATTCCCAGACAGCAGTAATGAGGTTACAATGAACCTCACATAGTTGGAGTTCTCTAATCAAATGGACCTCAACAAAGTGAGGTTGTTTCCCAGTTTGTAGGTTTCTCCTTCAGAGGTTTTGTGTCTAGGGTGTCCTATTCATATTTACAATTTATAACTGTATATTGCATTAACTCATCAATTACCTAATAATCAGTTTTAAAAATTAAATCTTTTTTTCTCTTTGGATTCTTCTTTTCCTCTATATAAGTAAAGATCACACATTGCCAATTTGATTATACCATTTCCATGCATGCCTTATTGTACTTTGATCATATTCTACTGCACTATTTCACTCCTTCCAGCACATCTTTGTGACTGATACTATGACTTACAAAAGCTCAGTCCCATGTTTCCTCATGACCCAGAAAACACAAGACATGTCTGATTTGTGGTTGTGGACCTGCTTTGTGTCATTTGACACTATATCAAGTTCTAGCTAATTTTGTTATAACACTAGAGTTAACTACTCACTGTGCTTGTTTTGTCTCTTCCCCCTAGTCTCTTTTTATACTATGCTAAGAATCAATTTGTTTCCTTTGAAATATCCTCTCCTGTTCCTGAGTGAATTGTGCATGAAGGAATATTTACTGTGTTGCTGAAACAGATGTGAAGTCTCATGGATTTCCATTAAGGAATTTCTCACCTATGTTTATTGAGGAAAGGAGTTTATATGTTATTTTTGTTTTTCTTTGCTTGGGGGCTTAGGGTAATAAAAGTATATAGATTCTTTTGGCATATTCCTTTACTTTTCCTTTTAAGAAGCATTTTCTGTAATCTTGGTGTTTGTCTTAGGGTTTCTATTGTTGCAACAAAACACCATGTCCAATGAGAAAACTTAGGAGGAAAAGGTTTAATGAGCTTACACTTTCAAGAACATTGTCACTAAAGAAAGTCAGTACAAGAATGTAAACTGAGCAGTTTCGTTGAGACAGGAATAGATGCAGAGACAATGGAAGGGCACTGAGTGCTGACTTGATCAACCTGGTTTAGTTTACAACCAGGATCACATGTCCAAGTAGATCGAGCTCCCCTCACAATGATCTGGTTCCTGCTCCATTTATTAATTATTGAGAAAATGCCGAACAGCTGTATCTCATGATGGCATTGTCTCAACTGAGGTCCTTTCCTCTCTGAGAATTATAGCTTCTTTCAAGTTGTCACACAAATCCCTCCAGTACAGTTTTAATTCTTCTCCAAAGTTTGGATAGATTCTTGGTATCCAATATTCCAGGGCTCTAACTGGTTTGGATCTATTTTGATAGCAGCAGCACTTTTTACTCAAGACTCATGTGTTTAAGTGCTTTTCTTTCATCTAATTTCAATATCCACATATACCTGCTAATTTCTTTCGCACTTTAAATTTTTCCTAAGGTTTAATAGTTGAAACATCCCCAGCAGACCCTTTACATTGTAAGTTGATTAGAATATAACATTTTTCCTATATTTTAATTTGTATCTTCTGCCAGAGGTTTTCATTTTGATGCATTCTTGACTGTGCACTGATCACTATTTCTTTGACCCTAGCAATTTCTTTTACGAGTACACATCTGTAAAGGGATGCATTTTTCTTGCCAGCGGCTTGGTTTTTCCCCCTGCCACTCACCTGGGTTCTGCCGTGTTGTAGTCCCCAAATAACAGACAAGACACAGTATTAATTATGAAGCTGTTGGCCTTGCTTACTGCCTAGCTCTGACTTAAGTATTTATCTCATAATTGTTAATCTAAGTATTTCTCTTACCGGAGAAAATTTCAGGCTTCTTATCCCTATGGCGGTTACATCTTGACTCTCTGAGTTTCTCCTACCAAGAGTCCTCCCTGAAGAACTAGTACCACCGATCTTGCTTCCCTATTAGCCAACAGTGTTTTATTGACATATACACAGGACTTCCCCCCTTCATCTCCTCTTTTCTGTCTAAACAAAAAGAAAGGTCTTAACATTAGCATAGTCAAATTATATATAACAGAACAGATATCAAGTAACAGCACAATTACACTATTTTGTCTATCAACATTTAGCAAGATTTAAAGAAAATATCATCTATCCCATCCTTGTGAGTCCAAAGTCTTATATGTAGCTTATCTTTTATCATAACTAAGGAAAACTATACCTATCTGTCTTCAACTCCATCAAAGACCATATACAAACACTAGAATTGACAGAGACATCTTGTTACCTGGGCAGTCATTGAAAGTTCCTCTGTAATGTTGGGGCATCCATCTTCAGCCCATAGGCCACAATGTGTCCAGAAGTCTTCTCAGCAAAGCAGGAAATTTCAAACTGTCCATCTGCATCAGCAGTCTGTCAGTCATTTTTTCTGCAGAAAGTCTCATAGACTCTTCCATGAAGCAGGAACCCTGAAGGACTACTTGAGTTCAGCAGTCACTTTCCTGTGGGTCCTGCATATCCAGTTTATACAGCAACAGTCAAACAGTCTAGGCAAGAGCAGTTTCTTGCCCAAATGGATAATGTTGCCATGTTGAAAGCAAACTCCATAACTAGTTTCTTTGAGGCCCATCTTCCTCTCAGATGTAATTGTTGCTGCAAGGAACAGACATTTCTCATTGTCAAGAAAACCCCTAAACCATTTTAAATGCCATTTTCTGAAGGTCCTTGAAAGGTTTGAAGACTACCTATCTATCTCACATATATTTCTGTTTATCTAGAAAACCTAACTTATCTAACTGTAAGTTCTGAAAATTATAAGTAACTATCTATAGTCTGTATTTAATTATGCATTACAATTTTAAAGATCAGTATAAGCACAATACTCAATCAAGAGGAGAAATATACATATCACAAAATTGACCTTGAATTTGTATCAATAAATGAAAAACCATGCCCACACCAAGTATTTATTTCCATACCATAATCCCCTTTCTCCTTTAAAAAGAGATTGGTTGTGATCATTAACCAATTATAAACAACTCCATTTAAATGAAAACAAAGATTTATAAACAATATGAGTATTTGGACATCGCTCATTCCAAACTGCTTCATGCTGTAGGGGAGCGCTGTTCATAACATGGGGATCATGACAAAACTCAGAATCCTGTATAAGTCCTTATTTTCTGGGTCTGTAAGGATGTATCATACTAGCTGTCTCAATTGTTGGAACACCTGGCCCACTGCTTCCGGAGGTCTTGGTTCATCAAACCACAGAAGCCTGGAATGAATCCTCAGCTTTTCATTTTCTGTAGAAACATAAACAATAACTCCTTTCCAAAGTAACATATCATTATACATAAATTTTGAAGTCAAGGCATTTTCAAAAGATATAGGTTGAATTAATTCAGTAGCATTTATAATCAAGTGTACTTTAGCAGTTTTTCTTACTAAGGAATCAAAAAACTGTAAAACACAATAGCATATAGTATCCAGACTCTCTGTGTATTTTACAACTTTACGTGGCTTATTTATTTATCTATTACTATTATTCTATTTTTTTCTTTGACTTATTTTTTCTCAGATACATGGTTTCTCTTTGGAAATCATCCTGCCTCTGCCTCTGCAGCAAATCCTACCAGCATATGCAACCACAGTCGGCTTCTCTATTTATTTACCACTATGCCATTTATTTTTCTCTCTCAATCTTACATATATTTTTTGAACTCACTGTAAACCTTTAGAGGTTTTACTTCATCCAAGTCTGACTTTACTATAAATCTTTATGTTTTTCTGGCCATGTATCTTATCTGTTTTAATTTTTGTTTCTAGCATTGCTTTCCTGAGGAATTTCCGACGAGATAAAGTGCTTGAAATTGAGGCTAACATTATGGATAGCTGCAATGATTTCAAAATTTTAACATCTCTAGGCTGTGGAGGATTTGGGGAGGTGAAGCTTGCCTGCCACCTTCCTACAAGTACACAGGTTGCCGTCAAGGTGGTCAAGAAGAATCACAATGGTATGAATGACATCAACTCTGAAGTACAGATCCTCCAGTTATTGGAACACAGAAACATAGTCAGATACTATCATGTCATCAACACACTGACAAAGACTTATTTAATCATGGAGTATGTTGCAGGAGATGACTTGGAGATATTCCTCAGGGACAAAACCTATCTAAAGGAGGAAGAAGCTAGACCAATATTCCAACAGGTCGTGTCAGCAGTGCACTTTCTCCACCAAAGACTTGTTGCACATCGTGATATTAAATTGGAAAATATCCTGATTGACAGAGCTGGAAACGTGAAGCTTTGTGACTTTGGGATGGCTATTCAGCTCGAAGAGGGGCAGAAGCTGAAGAATGTCTGTGGCTCTTTGTTCTATATGGCTCCAGAGATCTTGGCAAGGAAACCCTATGATGGGCTGGCAGTTGACATGTGGAGCTTGGGAGTAGTCCTATATGTACTGGTCACAGGAAAATTTCCATATGCAGCAACCACAATGCATGGTATGCACAGGCTCATCAACAGTACAGAGTACCCTATTCCCTACCACCTCTCAAAGCCCTGTCGTGAAATCATTGCACAATTACTCACAGTCCCTACCCGGCAAAGGATAACAATATTTCAGCTCCTGGAAAGAAGATGGCTGGGCCAAATTGAAGAGCATGTAGAACCTGCAAGTAAAGAAATCCTTCCCAGTGTCGTTGAGACAATGTGCAACATAGGCTATACCTGTGAAGAGATTGTGTCATGCATAAGAAAATGGCAAGCAAATAATAATGTAACAGCAACTTTCAATATTCTGAAACACAAATTGAGTATTAGGGACTGTCATCACCAAAATGGGAAGCCGTGGTTAAACATCAGCCCTATAGATACTATTCACTCCCTTCCCCCCTTCAAAAGGGCAGAGAGTGAATCAACCTTGGCAAAAATTATTGAAGTTGGAAAGGGTGACTTTCAGGAGAATGGTGTGGAAAGAAGAGAAAAGAGATGCCAAAGTTATAAGATGCCCAACAAATACTCCTGCTTGGAGATTATGCCCTGTTCAGATGAAATATTTTCTGCAAGAAGTGTCCTGATGGCTAATTTCATCCACAATGCTACTGAGGACATTGCAATCAACATGAATTCTGTGGATGGCTTGTGTGATGATATTTCCTTATGTGAGTCAGTCTTGAATGGAACACCTATAAGGATTCTGAACAAGGAATTCCCGGCAGAGCAACTAACCGGTGGGCCCATCATTCCCAAAGAACAGTCCCATGTTGGACCCAAAACCTCTGGATCCAGACCAATGAAGGCCTGGCAGCTGATAAGGAAGCGAATTACCAATGCACTCAGAATACTGTGCTGTGCTCCTGAACCATTCCATGGTGAGTCCTTGACTGTCATGTAAGCTATAAAGTAAAGACACGTCCATACAGTCCATAAGAGACCCATTTGCTTTAGCCACAAAGATGTTCTCCTCCATTGAATTTTGACTATTAGTTTTAATAAATAACCTTTTGTGAATGACAAATATAGACAAGAAGGACACCAGCTAAGACTCCTAGCAATAATGGAGAGGATGCCCAAACTGGTCTTCCCCTGAAATCAAATTGGAGAATATGCAAACTATCATCATAGAGCCTTCTTCCAGTATTTGAGGGAAACAGATGCAGAGATCTACAACCAAGCACCAGTTCAAGCTCCAGGAATTCAGTCAAAGAGAGGGAGGAGGGAATATATGAGCAAGGGAGTTCAATATAATTTTGGATAAATCTACAGGAATAGATAACCAATATAGTGGAAACTCATGTACTCTTGACCAACAGCTATGGACACTCCAGGGGTTTGGACTAGGCCTGCTGTATGTAAGAAACAGTTGTGAAACATGGACTATCTGAGGATCCCTGGCAGCAGGACAAGGATCTAAACTCCAGTACATGAGCTAAATTTTCCCATAACCTTT